TGTTTGCCGTTTGCTGTTTGAGGACTATTTGTCTTGTGAGACTATTTCTATGAACCCTGATATGTTTACCCTCGAAGGTAATAATATCTGCAATTCTGAGTTTTAAAGTATGTTGTTTTATTTATCAGCCATTATCATTTTAAAAGGTATGAAATGCCAAAAAGGCAACATGTTTATGATTTTATTCTGATGGTGGGATGATGTGTATGGAGTTTGTTGACAATATACAGGCTTATTGTTGCTGTTATCATGGTTATGTCACTAAAATCATGAAAATGGGGCAGACAAAAAAAGTAAAAAATAAAAATGGTGGAACTGACTGTTATGTAGACACAAAATGGCTTGGGGTCTTTCTACCATGTCTACATTTTGTTTTTATCAAATGTTTGGCTTCCCACTTTTCTTAAGTCTGCATACAGTACTTTATTTTTTGCATGCAGTACTTGCTGCTTAGAGCTATTTGCTTGCGTGGAAGAGGTATACTGTCTATTGATCCCTCTAACGAGAGGCTAGGTGATATCAACCTGTCATAGGCCAGGATTACTTGGACATGCTTAATCATTAAGCTAAGCTAATCATTAATAACAGGCTATGTATGCCACGGTATTGGATTGGATTGTACCATGTCATGTGCCCACTTGCACAAAGCGATCTTAGTGCTACGACTATTGTAAGCCTATGTTAAAGTATGGGAGATCATCTTAGCCCTAAGAGGGGGGCGGTCGGGTAGCCTAGTGGTTAAAGCGTTCGCTCGTCACACCGAAGACCCGGGTTCGATTCCCGACATGGGTACAATGTGTGAAGCCCATTTCTGGTATCCCCCGACGTGATATTGCTGGAATATTGCTAAAAGCGGCGTAAAACCATACTCACTCACTCACTTAGCCCTAAGATCGCTTTGTGCAAGTGGGCCCTAGTTTATCGAGGTGTTTCCGTGACATGCTGGAGACAACGTTTATCGAGATGTTTCTCCTTGTCACTGGGGCAAATGAACTGCAAAAGGTTTTCCTGTTGAGAACATCAGGGAAGAGGTAGTAACTGAAATAAGTTCTGATTGGCTGTTGTTTATGGTCTGCCTGACAGGAACAGGATATCAATCACAGATTTGTATCTCGACATGGCAAGGTTTTAGATCTGTATGTTTTTGTTTGTTTGTTGTTTAACACCGCGCTCAGCAGTGTCCAGCTATATGACATCGGTCCGTAAATAATCTAGTAATGCAGTGATTGACATCATGAGCATCGATCCACACAACTGGGATACGATGACATACTTTGACGAAGTCAGCAAGCCTGACCACCCGATCCCATTAGTCGCCTATTACGACAAGCATAGTCGCCTTTTACAGCAAGAATGGGTTGCTGAAGACCGATCCACCCTGGATCTGTACAGGAAGATATATGTGATGTGAATGTAGAGGAATGTTGGAGTCGAATAGTTTACTTCTCAGCTCTTTGTTTCAGCTTAATCAATGCAATGACAAACTATTTCATAATAAATATCAATACATGTCAGACGTTGCAGTGTAAATTTCACAACAAAATGGTTGTAGCCATGGTTACCATATCATTGAAATATGTTTAGAGTTACCTCCTCTAGTCAATTACAAAACACTCTACATGCTCAATAAATGTTTGTCATCCGTGAATTATGTCATATTTTGATGGCAACATTCTCCCTAAATATTCAATAACAGTTAGAATAAGTTATAATTGTATTTGCTACTACTACTACTAGAAATAATCTGGTGCCCACACGCCCCTGTGTCCCATGACGACCGAAACTTATATCGACTAATTGATTAATTGACATTCATCCCATGAAATAGGCAATCATGCAGTCAGACAAAATTTATCAGGTTTTGTTTGTTTATATTGTTCTACAGTGTTAAAAATGCCATAAATAAATTGCAAGTGATACCGTGGCATTTGATTGGTGTTTTGATATTTTCTTCAACAACCCCCCCCCCCCCCGATTGTCTGATAAGACTGATAACAGGATGATGGAGGGGGGGAGGCATGTGTTGCATTGCTCCTGTGAATGATTTCATTGATTTCGTAGCAGTTGTCTCCAGGTTTTGGTTTGTTTTAATTAAGGAAGCAGTCTGTTAAGTTGTAATTGTTGACATATTTACTAATAAGATTTGACGTATTGGCGCTATGGCGTTATAAATGAAAAAACTGTGTGCACTCTTTTACGTAAGATGATTTACGCAGTATGTACACTGATTTTTACATATCTACCTGGGGTCAGAGGGGTAGCCTAGTGGTTAATGCGTTAGTTCGTCACGCTATATTCCTGACATGGGTACAGTGTGTGAAGCCCCTTTCTGGTGACCCCTGCTGTTGTATCGCTCTAATATTGCTAAAAGCGGTGTAAAGCCAAACTGACTCACTCACCCTGTGGTCCGAGCATGCTGAAGGGCTAGTTATGAGTTTGTCAATAGTACATAGCACAGATCTCTGGTATGCAGTGGCAGGTATTCAACATGAGCTGCTACCAGCATTGATTATAGCTGAATGTGAGAGTAGTACCAGTAGATGTGCTTGAACAAAGTGTCGTCCTGTCATCACGGCCATGGATTTATCATGCTTCAAATCAATTGATTTGGTGGCTGTAAGAATGTACTAAAAAAAGAATTTGAAATTCAGCCTTGGGCACAAATATTGGGTTATTAAATGTAAGTCTTGTGAATGGGATAGAAATACTTCACTGTGAAACAGATGTGATGGGACTTGACGGTCTGCCCTTAGGAAAGCAGGAATAAACAGTACCAGTGGTCTGGTCCAAGTGGTCTGGTCCAAGTGGTCTGGTCCGAGCGGGATGTTCACCTGTTTGCAGATTTCTTATCACTGTTCACACACAGACAAGGCACCTCATGGATCCATTACAAGGAAAATAACATTTCACTATTTCATTTATATCGAACACAGAATTGCTAGATATATTGTTTGTTTAATGCTGCACTCAGCAATATTCCAGCTACATGACGGTGGTCTGTAAATAATCAAGTCTGGACCACCCGATCCTGTTAGTCGCCTATTACGACAAGCATAGTCGCCTTTCACTGCAGGCATGGGTTGCTGAAGACCAATTCTACGTACCCCAGATCTTCACGGGTCTAGATGCAATATAATTTAAAAGCAAATGTTTTGAATGCTTAAATAGGGTCTATCTTCAGTACAGTTAACCACCAGAACATTTTATTCCTTGAAAGACCGAGAGATGAGTTTGATTAATCATGATTAATGTGCTTCTAAAAATATCACAAAATGAAAAGTGAGAAGGTGGCAGTGACAATTTTGCAGCCTTGGAGTAGATAAACGGTCATCAAAGACAACTATGACATGAAATACACAAGTCTTCAGATTCCATATATGTACAGTGTGCACACTTGTTTTACACTGCGAACTCCATAAACACAAAGAAATCAATTCTTATAAATAAATACTTCGACAATAATAACTACAAAGACTGCTTATTTATTCAGAAACATAAAAGACTGAAGGCTACAGTCCCGAATCAGTGACCTTCAGCACCATGCCACAGCAGCCCGCTCACCCTGATGATTAGCAGGACAGGGAAGGTCGTTAGTGGGCGTGGCCTTACGTTTTTTCCAGGTGGATTGAAACATATACGGAAAAGAATTTGCTTGGTTTGCCAATCAAATACCACAATCACTTGCAGTTTATATATTAACATCACAAATGAAGACTCCATCGCAATGTTCGGCCATGATGAATGACTGTGTGTGGAGCTTACAGAGACATACATGACAGAAGGATTAAGTCTGATTGTAACTGTCGAGGATTGTGTCCTTGTCAGATAGGTGCTGTCGTGTGAGTTGATAAATTAATAAGACACAGTAATCCTCGCGTGGAACTAAGTGAGGGTGGCTTCTGACTTCATCATGCGGCATGTTACCTGACAGCAGCAATGAATATGGGGGTAGGATCATTAATACAGTAGGTCTGTCCTGTCTCTTACTGACCAGACTCAAGTAGGATCCAATGGGACTTGTCAGATCAACTGGGCAGCCCTCTCCATTCACTGCTTGCAGCTGTATGTGATAGATACAGCCCTCTCCATGCACTGCTTGCAGCTGTATGTGATGGATACATCCCTCTGTATGCACTGCTTACAGCTGTATGTGATGGATACAGCCCTCTCCATGCACTGCTTACAGCTGTATGTGATGGATACAGCCCTCTCCATGCACTGCTTGCAGCTGTATGTGATGGATGCAGCCCTCTCCATGCACAGCTTGCAGCTGTATGTGATAGATACAGCCATCTCCATGCACTGCTTACAGCTGTATGTGATGGATGCAGCCCTCTCCATGCACAGCTTGCAGCTGTATGTGATGGATGCAGCCCTCTCCATGCACAGCTTGCAGCTGTATGTGATGGATGCAGCCCTCTCCATGCACTGCTTGCAGCTGTATGTGATCGATGCAGCCCTCTCCATGCACTGCTTGCAGCTGTATGTGATCGATGCTGCCCTCTCCATGCACTGCTTGCAGCTGTATGTGATGGATGCTGCCTTCTCCATGCACTGCTTGCAGCTGTATGTGATGGATGCTGCCCTCTCCATGCACTGCTTGCAGCTGTATGTGATGGATGCTGCCCTCTCCATGCACTGCTTGCAGCTGTATGTGATGGATGCACCCTCTCCATGCACTGCACTGAATTGAAATTATGTCTGTTAATTGTTTCCGGAGCATCACTCATATTTCGTCAGATACCCAAGTCCCTGTGTATGGATTAGAATGATTGAGAAATCTCTCGGGGGGTCATGAGATCATTCCTCACTCTCTGTCCCCTATCTACAGTGACAGCATCAACACAAACATCCCTCTGCTATGATCCTCAGACACTATTAATATTATTCTTAATTTTCAACATTTTCAACAAATCTCTCCATAATAATCCCAACAGATTATTTTCTAATATATTTTAGGAATGTTGACGACAATTTGACCTTGTGCTTTCCACTTGCAGAGTGTGAGGAGCTGGACACGCCATGTTTGAAGGACAAGTATGGGTATGACGCCATCAAAGCACTGCACCATCTGCTGGATGACGATCAGAATGGGAATGTGGACCAATCAGAGAGCGACGAGGTATTTACTGCAGATGATTATATAGGAACAGAGTTCTTCCATCTGTCCATCCATCCATCCATCAGTCCTTCCGTCCACTTATCAATGTTGACAAATTTCCTCAAAATTATTCAAGTTAGAGAAATGGAATTTTACACACTGGTGTTTCTGGTCATGATCTTAAATGAGCTCGTAAATTAGTGTCATACATTCATTTCTGAGTTATGGCCCTAAATGCTCCGTGCTTTTTAAGTGCATACTGTGTGAAATGGGGACATGCTTTCTCAGAAGTACAGAAGTTGCATGAATGAAAGTTTGCATGCTTATCTGAAACATTCTTGTCAAGACTGAGTTCGAAAATTGGTCCTGTCATTTATTATTTCTTTTAGAGTTATGGCCCTTGCTCCGTGCTCTTCAACTAAGTGCATTGTGTGTGCGATGGGGACAAGTTTTCTCAGAAGCTACTTGTGTTACTTAAATGAAAGTTTGCATGCTTATCTATGAGATACTTATCAAGACTGAGTTCAAAAATTGTTTCAATAATGGTTTTTTTTATAGTGTTATGGCCCTTGATCCATGATATTTTTATTTCCAGAAACTACTGAAATTAGCTTATCTAACATTATTATCACGACCGAGTTATTTTTTCCAGAAAAGGGGCCATTTGTGTGTATCAATTTGACATTTATTCAATTTTCCTGATGACATAAAGTGACCCAAGTGGCTATCTCTTTTCAAGGCTTTATGTGCCCCATGGCGTGAGGGGATAGTGATAATGCGGTGTTTTTGTTGACACAATGCTCCAAGTCCCCATGTTCAAGAGCTGCCAGGAGGAGTGTGAGCTGTCTGAGTGGGGTGGGTGTTGTAAATCAGCTGCTGGGATAATGTTCGGCCCGTAGAGAACTCGGAACTGTCAGCTGTTTGTGTGTCGTGTGCCTGGGTGGCAGGGATGAATCCCCACACGATCCACCTTTGGTTGCCTGTCTCCAAGTCTGTCTCCACACAAGCTGGCAGTATATCTGACATAGTACAGCTGGCAGTATATCTGACATAGTACAGCTTGCAGTATATCTGACATAGTACAGCTGGCAGTATATCTGACATAGTACAGCTGGCAGTATATCTGACATAGTACAGCTGGCAGTATATCTGACATCTAGTACAGCTGGCAGTATATCTGACATAGTACAGCTGGCAGTATATCTGACATAGTACAGCTTGCAGTATATCTGACATTGTTCAGCTGGCAGTATATCTGACATAGTACAGCTGGCAGTATATCTGACATAGTACAGCTGGCAGTATATCTGACATAGTACAGCTGGCAGTATATCTGACATAGTACAGCTGGCAGTATATCTGACATCTAGTACAGCTGGCAGTATATCTGACATAGTACAGCTGGCAGTATATCTGACATTGTTCAGCTGGCAGTATATCTGACATAGTACAGCTGGCAGTATATCTGACATAGTACAGCTGGCAGTATATCTGACATTGTTCAGCTGGCAGTATATCTGACATAGTACAGCTGGCAGTATATCTGACATAGTACAGCTGGCAGTATATCTGACATCTAGTACAGCTGGCAGTATATCTGACATAGTACAGCTGGCAGTATATCTGACATAGTACAGCTTGCAGTATATCTGACATTGTTCAGCTGGCAGTATATCTGACATAGTACAGCTGGCAGTATATCTGACATAGTACAGCTGGCAGTATATCTGACATAGTACAGCTGGCAGTATATCTGACATAGTACAGCTGGCAGTATATCTGACATCTAGTACAGCTGGCAGTATATCTGACATAGTACAGCTGGCAGTATATCTGACATATAGTACAGCTGGCAGTATATCTGACATAGTACAGCTGGCAGTATATCTGACATAGTACAGCTGGCAGTATATCTGACATAGTACAGCTGGCAGTATATCTGACATTGTTCAGCTGGCAGTATATCTGACATAGTACAGCTGGCAGTATATCTGACATAGTACAGCTGGCAGTATATCTGACATTGTTCAGCTGGCAGTATATCTGACATAGTACAGCTGGCAGTATATCTGACATAGTACGGCTGGCAGTATATCTGACATTGTTCAGCTGGCAGTATATCTGACATAGTACAGCTGGCAGTATATCTGACATAGTACAGCTGGCAGTATATCTGACATAGTACGGCTGGCAGTATATCTGACATAGTACAGCTGGCAGTATATCTGACATAGTACAGCTGGCAGTATATCTGACATAGTACGGCTGGCAGTATATCTGACATAGTACAGCTGGCAGTATATCTGACATAGTACAGCTGGCAGTATATCTGACATAGTACAGCTGGCAGTATATCTGACATAGTACAGCTGGCAGTATATCTGACATAGTACAGCTGGCAGTATATCTGACATGGTACAGCTGGCAGTATATCTGACATAGTACAGCTGGCAGTATATCTGACATAGTACAGCTGGCAGTATATCTGACATAGTACAGCTGGCAGTATATCTGACATGGTACAGCTGGCAGTATATCTGACATAGTACAGCTGGCTGGGGTACTGTAATCACCATAATAAAACCATGGTATACCGTATTCACCGTAATAAACCCTGGAATACTGTTGTCACCATAATAAAACCATGGTATACCGTATTCACCGTAATAAAACCATGGTATACCGTATTCACCGTAATAAACCCTGGAATACTGTTGTCACCATAATAAAACCATGGTATACCGTAGTCACCGTAATAAACCCTGGAATACTGTTGTCACCTTAATAAAACTCTGATATACTGTAATCACCATAATAAAACCATGGTATACCGTAGTCACCGTAATAAACCCTGGAATACCATATTCACCGTAATAAAACCCTGATATACTGTAGTCACCGTAATAAAACCCAGGTATTCTGTATTCGCAGTGATAAACCCTGATATACCGTATTCACCGTAATAAAACCCTGGTATACTGTAGTCACCGTAATAAAACCCAGGTATTCTGTATTCACAGTGATAAACCCTGATATACCATATTCACCGTAATAAAACCCTGATATACTGTAGTCACCGTAATAAAACCCAGGTATTCTGTATTCACAGTGATAAACCCTGATATACCGTATTCACCATAATAAAACCCTGATATACTGTAGTCTCCGTAATAAAACCCAGGTATTCTGTATTCACAGTGATAAACCCTGATATACCATATACAGTATATCAGGGTTTTATTATGGTGAATATGGTATATCAGGGTTTAAGTGGCCTGAACACTTAGATAATGGACAAAGGGTGGACACTTATAAAAACCATTTACACATCAAAGTTGTTGTCTTTGATCAAGTGGGAGTTCACACAGCTTAGTTCAAATGACTGTGTAGCTAACAATTTTTCAATAACGGTTACTGGGCAATTATATACTCCTTCTGTGTTGGAGTCTTCTGTCAGGAGATCTGTAATAAACACAAGAGCAGCGATAGAGACTAACAGTTGCAGTCTACTAGCCCTTATAATGATCACGTAGCAAAACCCTCAAGAGGGCAAAAGGGCATGTCCATAACATGTACATTTTGGGTTTTATTAAAACTAATTACAGATTGATCGAGAGGCTAGGATAGGGATTATTTGAGCAAGGCGTTTAATATGGCAATATGTGGCCCTCTCCATGCACAGCTTGCAGCTGTATGTGATGGATGCGGCCCTCTCCATGCACTGCTTGCAGCTGTGATGGCTGCAGCCCTCTCAATGTACTGCTTACAGCTGTATGTGATGGATGCAGCCCTCTCCATGCACTGCTTACATCTGTATGTGATGGGTGCTGCCCTCTCCATGCACTGCTTGCAGCTGTATGTGATGGATGCAGCCCTCTCCATGCACAGCTTGCAGCTGTATGTGATAGATGAGGCCTTCTCCATGCACAGCTTGCAGCTGTGATGGATGCAGCCCTCTCCATGCACTGCCTGCAGCTGAATGTGATGGATGCGGCCCTCTCCATGCACTGCTTGCAGCTGAATGTGATGGATGCGGCCCTCTCCATGCACTGCTTGCAGCTGTATGTGATGGATGCGGCCCTCTCCATGCACTGCCTGCAGCTGTATGTGATGGATGCGTCCCTCTCCATGCACTGCTTGCAGCTGTATGTGATGGATGCGGCCCTCTCCATGCACTGCTTGCAGCTGAATGTGATGGATGCGGCCCTCTTCATGCACTGCTTGCAGCTGTATGTGATGGATGCGGCCCTCTCCATGCACTGCCTGCAGCTGAATGTGATGGATGCGGCCCTCTCCATGCACTGCTTGCAACTGTATGTGATGGATGCAGCCCTCTCCATGCACTGCTTGCAGCTGTATGTGATGGATGCGGCCCTCTCCATGCACTGCTAGCTGTATGTGATGGATGCAGCCCTCTCCATGCACTGCTAGCTGTATGTGATGGATGCTGCCCTCTCCATGCACTGCTAGCTGTATGTGATGGATGCAGCCCTCTCCATGCACTGCTTACAGCTGTATGTGATGGATGCAGCCCTCTCCATGCACTGCTTGCAGCTGTATGTGATGGATGTGGCCCTCTCCATGCACTGCTTACAGCTGTATGTGATGGATGCAGCCCTCTCCATGCACTGCTTGCAGCTGTATGTGATGGATGCAGCCCTCTCTATGCACTGCTTACAGTTGTATGTGATGGATGCTGCCCTCTCCATGCACTGCTTGCATCTGTATGTGATGGAAAATAGGAAGGGGCTTATTTGTGCAAGGCGTTAATATGGCAAATATGGTGTAATATACATTGAGTACTGTAGCACTATGCTGCCAGAGTATAGCTGAAGTTATTGCAGAATGGCAGTTATTGTGACTGTGTTGAGCATGTAGTTAAGTGTTGGAGTCAGGTTTACTGACTGCTATAAATCCTGGTACAGACTTTGTTAAGTATTATGGACAGGGCTGATAACATCATCTGCACGATCGGGTAGTGATAGTGGCTATACAACTGATTACTTTCAGGGCAGTAATTT